CCCCCCCCCCCCCCCCCTTTTTTTTTTATATACAAAAAGCCCCCAAACGTTCAGGTCAGTGCAGACAGCAAAACGAACCGCTTTTTTCCAAATCGGAGCTCGGCTCCGAGCGCAAATGTCCCGGTTTGTTTAGAGGCTGTTTGCCGTGCTTGTAAATTCAAACCACAGAGACGTCCCCACAACCAGAGAGGCCTTCATGGCTGCAGAAGCTCTTCCAGCCAACTACAGTGAACACTGGAAAAACAACCCTTTAGCCTTCAGCTGTTTAAACATTTTTTACACATCACACATGTTGGAGTTGTGCATGTCTTGTGTATTGTCGAAATACAAAGCTACAGAGAGAAAAGCCTCAGCCAACACGAGGAGTTGTATTTCAACTTATTACGTCTCTACCTGTCTGCTGTTGACTAACTTCATGAGCGTTTGTATGGCAGCCAGGATAACGTTACCACAAAAAATGTCCGTACCAAAGACGCCACAGAATGCTATTTGAAGCGGCGAAGCACGTGTGATTTTAAATGAAATGTAGCGCAGCCTGCTGCTCACAGGTCGGGTTCAACAGTATTTCTGGTTCAGACCAAAACGGGTTTAAAGGAACCCCCTGGAGCTCCTACCAACGAGTTGTGTTGTGGGGCACTGTTTGCCAATGGTTTGCTCATTTAGCTGAGATCATATCTAGAATGACTTAAAAGTGCCAAATCAGTTTCAGTTTGTAGAGAACCATTATATGGAAGTGACGTTCAGAGGTCAAGACAGTTGAGACTTCCTGTTTCCTCTCAATGATTCTCTTTTTCTGGAACAACTTATCTGGTTATTATAACAGCCTCACACTGCCTTTCCCTAGCAGAAGTCTAGACCTCAGGAACACCCCTCTCCTAGATTCAGTGCGTTTATAGTGACGGTCTTCTCAGAAGATAGAAGTGTAAATGTTGATTGATTCATGATTCGCCTTGTTTGGGCCTGAAAGGGGCCCAACGTCTGCTTGGCTCGGCTGTACTGTTACTTCTCATATTTTCCATGACTGTGTGGGATACTGTGTAGCCAATCACATGTGTTATCCATTATCTTGTGCTGGAGCCATGGCCTTATTTTCTTCCTCGCTTGCTTGTTGTTGGCGACTTTGTAACACTCAAAGTTGCTTTTGATCTTATTGTAAGCTTGTGTTCAGGCTATCGCGATCTTCATTAGGATACACTGCAGATTATGTCAGTTTGCTTTATTTGGCTGTATGTCTTGTGTCCCAGCTTCATTACCAGGCTATGTGTCGGCTATTATACGTCTATTTTGCGTACACACTAAATCCCCGTTGAGTTTTGATGAGTTGCGTCAACAGCAGGAGCAGGAATTTCCCATCTTGTGCACTCTGGATCTGGGCCTGTGTTTATCAACTCGGTGTCGGCAGAGGGCTAAGCAGTACATCGTCCTATTTCATACGCGCTACGATGGGTCTGAGTTTAAGGACACAGACTTGGCCATGCTAGCGTAGTGGCACATCACTAGTGATGGCAATGTGGGGTTTGTCCGTCATTGGGTTGGTTTGTCGGTCCACCTCTGTGGTCCAGACTGAAATGTCTCCACAACTATTATATGGTTTGCCATGAAATTGTGTACAGACATTCATGGTCTCTAGATGACGAATCCTGCTGACAATGTGATCCTCGGACGTTTCCTTTTTTAGTTTTTTATCTTACCTATTATTGGATGGGTTGGAGTGTCATTTGGTACAGACATTCGTGGTCCCCAGAGGATCTGTGAAAATGTAACTTCTTGGCCTTTCATCCAGCCCCATCTTCAGGTCAAAATTTCTGTTTGTCCAATGTGTGGTTTGTTACCTAATACCTGCAAAACTGTGGACATTAACATAAGCCTCAGCTGTACTTTGTGTTTAGTGTCAATTAGCTAATGTTAGCATAACATGCTAAACTCCCCTGTCTCAGGTTGCATTTCAGTTGTACTTTGTTTTACCAAACACACACACACACACCTTGTTACATAATACCAAAAGTACAGAAATGTTGAAAGTGATAATACACAACAAAGTGGACAATAATGGACCAGTTTGAGGCTGGAAATGGTATTTCATCTTCTGAGTCCAATAGTTTTTGTGTTTTGGGACCCCTCAGAGTGCATCGTTGTGCTGACACAATGACAAATGAACTAAACACAAATGTTTAAACCTGCAGTAAGTTAAGCAGGCAACAAATTCAACACTTTGCTTTTGTATTAGTTTATTTGGTATATCGGGGATTTCCATTTCATTTTTAAATATTTTTTAGCCATTTTACCTTTTTTAATTTACATTGAGCCAAAGAGCGGTGACAGGAAATACAGGGAGAGAGAGAATGACTTGCAACAAACGTTACCGGCATCAAATTGGGCATGTTGTGAAAACAGTATAACCTCCTATAATAAGTTCACTGGATGGAGTAAGCCAGCTGTCAAAGCTCCAAGTCCTGGCTCACATATTCCAAAATATTCATCATCACATTCTGTTTTATTGTCGATATGAAAGCGATTTTCTGCCTTTTTTTAGGCATTTAAACGGTTAAGCTTTGGTTTCTATGCTGAAGAATGGAAGTCGCTGCGTCCTGTTCATCCTGTCTGCTAGCAGCATATTTCTGTCTTTACAACTCAGCCTCCCCCTTAAGATATTTTCAGCCGGTACCTGAAAAAGAAAACCCTGTGACCACGGAGGGCCGTGTGGTGTCCTGTTTCTCTTATTTTGCAAACTGAACAACAAACAACCTCTAAGCTGGGACTATTCTCTCTCCAAACAAAAGCATGCGATGTATGCCGCCCTGAAAGATGTTAATTTAAGTAAAGTTAAGAAAATCATCAGAGCCATTGTGCTATGTGGGTAAACTGTTGATGAAAAAGTGTTTTAACTACATAACAGGAGTAGATAGAAAAGGAAAGCTGCAATCTGCATCTGACTTTTGCAAAAGCAAATACACATCGTACTCATTCTCAGATGTTTGATATCTGTTTATAGTACATGATTTACCACGAATGCAAACACATAGTTAGCTGAAATCTGGCCTGGCAAGAAGTTTTATTTTGAAAGGTGTTGGAATTCTCTGATTTCTGCTTCATGACTTGACTTTGGCTCTCAGCGTTCCTATTCCGGTATTTTCTGTGGTGAAGAGTATGGTGGACAAATGTTTATAGAGGAGATGATTATATTTCGGGGCTGTTGGATGAACCACATTGTGTTGAAGTCCACTATTGGTTGGAGCATTTGTTTAATATGTGTTTTTAATGATTCATTTTATCAGCATGAAGACAATCTGCTGATATAGTTCATGTGATCTGGTGGCAAAAACAAATTTGCTAGATGAGTCAACCTTTTTAATGGCTGTGACATTATTTTATGAAAATGTACTGTGTTGTAAAAAAGTATTAATATGCTGCACCTCATTCCAAGGGACACATCATACTTAAACCACATAGTGTAGCTTACAATAACACCGTCTTTTAATGTTTCTTCTTACACATTTACAGAACTAGGCATATACCATAACGACTGCACTTTTCCTGCCAAGCCCAATGTCCTCTGTTCTTAAGGTGTGGAAACAATAACAAGCTCAAGCTAGTTTTGGAGTTCATGAGTTTTGTGTTTTCTTTTTAGTTTCTTAGTCGCTGGGTCTTTTTGGTGGGCCTGAAAATGTACAAAATATGTCAGAGCTGGGGATAACTTGTTGGTGAGGCAGCCAGTCATTATTTTGAGGGATTAGGAAACAGTAACTTGTTGGTTATTTTGGAGTGTTAACTAACCGCTCAGGTATGTGGACATGCATGTTAGTTTCTTAGCCTGCAGGCATCCTTATTGTTCAGAGTCTCAAACATTCTGACTTGGGTACTCCAGCATGTCAACAATGGATGTTGTGACAGTAATCTCTGCTGTCTGTTTCCAGGTGCTGGGACGGTGCTTCCTCACGGTGATGCAGGTCCATTTCCAGTTTCTATCGCAGGCTTTGCAGAAGGTGCAGCCCGTGGCTCAGTCCTGCCTGGCGGAGGCTCTTGCCCAGGCCCAAGAGCGCTGCGCCAACACCCGCTCCCAAAGCTCTGACCTCGGGTCCCTCACGGAGCTGGAGGACGCCTCCCGCTCATGGAAAGGTGCAGCTCAGGTATGCAGCCACAGGGTGCCTCTTCCTGGTTTGGGCCTTGTAAATATGGGGTTTGACTTGTGAAACATTCCTGAGAAAATGCCAGCCAGTCATGATTTCCAGTCTCAATTTCCCATTTCCTCTTTTTTTTTTTTTGGGCTGCAGTTTGTCTGTGAACCTGCTATGTTATGTTCTGCACCCGTTTACACCCCAACCCATGTAAGAGAGGCAATTTTGTAAGAGGACCTAACTAATCCCCAGGCTAATCAGTCCCCCTAGCCCATTTTGAGCTTTGTTGTATTACGTGAGGCAGAGAGGAGAATAGCGGGTTGATTGATCTGTTAAGCCCTGGCATGTAGAGTGTAAGCCCTAGAGGGGGCTCGGCCTGGATAGACCCTGGTAGAATGTGCTGGTTAGGCATTTAGGCAGAGGGAGGCAGCCAGGACTCTTTTTCAGAAGCTGCACACAAGCTTTTTATCATCCAGAAATGTCTAGCTCCCAGTGCTCAATTATTTTTGCAAGATATTCAGAGAAAATTTGCTTTTTAAAACCAACCACGATTCTTTTAAAACATTTTTTTTTTTTTTATGCTGGTCACCGGATTTTGCAGTGCAATCATTCTCAAGTGTTTTCTTGCATTTGTCTGTGAGACTTTGCTGCGGTAGTGTAGATGTCCCTGCTGTCACTCAGCTCTCTACTGTGCCCTCAGGCCATGGCGAGGCTGAGAGAGAGGGGCCGGGACGGCTGCCTGGCAGGCATCCAGGTTCAGCAGCTCTTCTGTTCCAACAACACCACCATCCCTGAGCACCAGCTGAAGGAGCTGAACATGAAGATTGACAATGCTTTACAGGTACAGTATCAGCCCAAACAGCAGGGCAGGGAACTGCAGTCACTGTTATAACAGTGGTTTGACACATGTTTTAAGGATCAAATAGACATTCACTTATGCTTTTCTAAGTATCGGGTAAAAGTATACTTTTTATTTTCATAAACGGGGTGAAACTACATGGATTCATCAATAAAAAGTGCAGTAACGATGTAACATCATATATTGGACTGATAGCCGGTCATGTTTTCTCTCCATCTCCAGGCCTACAAAGCAGCACTAGAGAGCCTGGGCCATAGTGAGTATGCACTGAAGGCCGGCTTTCATCTTAACCCCAAAGCTGTGGAGGCGGCCTTACAGGTGGGTTCATTCTCAAAGAGTCAGTAAACATCTTGATGGAATAATAAATAGGGAGGGATACTCTTAACTGATGTAATTAGATGTTACGTTTATTGATTCTTAAACATTCTATACATTTACTCTATAGAAAACAACAATTGTTCTTTCATTGTGTGTGTGTGTGTGTGTGTGTGTGTGTGTGTGTGTGTGTGTGTGT